CGATCTACCAACATCCCCCCCCCCCCCCATACCCCATCCCGTACACGCTTCCCCTCATACCCCCCCAATACATGCCCCTCACACCTCACCCTGTACACCCCCCCCATGCACCCCCACTATACCGTACACCACCCCCTGTACACCCCACCTCAATATCTCACCTCGTACATCTCCTCCAATATACCCCCCCCACCCCCCGTCAACTGCCCCCATTACCCCCTCCCCGGAAAACCTCCCCATACTCCACCCATATACCTCAAACTAACCACCCCATTTAAACCCAGCCATACCCCTACATAACCACCCAGTACCTCCCTATAACCTACCCCTGGGGGTAGAGGATGTGGAGGGGGCGAGAGAGAGAGAGAGAGATTGTCAGGGGAGAGGAGGTCGGGGGGGTACATGAAGAGGGTCAGGGGAGGTGGAGGGGGTCTGCAGGGAGAGGGTCAGGGGAGGTTCAGTGGGAGGGGGTCTGCAGGGAGAGGGTCAGGGGAGGTTCGGTTGGGGGGGAACTGGGAGGGAGGCAGGGGTGCGTTGTTGGGCGGGGGGGAAGAGAGAGACTGGCAGGTGGGGGGGCAAGAGAGAGACTGGCTGGCAGGGGTGCGGTGGGGGGTCCATCATCTTTTTGCTACCCTGATTCTGTGTGTATCTGTGGGTATGTGTGTTTGTGTTTTCCATTACCAGGGGAGGTATTGCATCTTTCAGGGCTTCTGTTCACCACCCCGACAATCCCTGGGACCATCTGCATAAGAAATAATGGTTATGTCAAAAGTTGCTGAAGCCTCCTTGAAGATTTAATCAAGGTGTTCAGTAACAATTTTTTGATCAAGTAAATTAGGGCAACATGTGCAGGTTAGAGATAATTGACAGAAGAACCAGAAGAGATGTAACGTTTTAAGCTAACTTTGTGATCTGGGACGCACTACCTGTAAGGGCGGTGAATGCAGACTTTGAAACTAAATTGGATAAATAAATATTGAAGGGGAGAAAATGGAAGAGCAAGGGGTAGGAGTTGACAAGGTGTAGAGCTGGATGAACACAGCAGGCCAGGCAGCATCAGAGGAGCAGGAAAGCTGATGTTTCGGGTCTGGACCCTTCTTCAGTGTGTGCAGAGTGATGGACTAACCTGCAGATTTGATTTAAAAATTCAAATGGAAGTAATAAATAGCTTCCTGTGATATAGAATTCTCTGTTGATGTTGGAAGATTAAATATAACTTATTGTGAGACCTGATACATCTGCAGAAAGGAGTATACGTATTCAATATACGCTTGAAGAACTCTCTAATTTTAAGCTCTCCCATTTATTCCCTCCCCTCCCAGGTATTGTGATTCAATCAGTATTTACTTGTGATTCCTACTGGTTCAAGAAGAGATTCCAAGGGTAGGATGAAGATGGTCTGTCTTAGCTTTGTGGAATTAATGCTGTCAGAATGTCTTCTCAAAATGGCTGCATTATTTTGATTTTCTTGAATTTCCAGTTTGAGTTATGCTGAAAAATGACAGGAGATAGAAACTTTTTGTCCCACAGTGGTGTTTGATATCTGACTGAATGAAGGATGAGCATTGAAATGCCCAATTTTCCTCCTAAATCTCACCCCATCAATTAAAACAGCTATAAATTCAATGGCCACTTCAGTCTGGAAATGATCTGTTGTGTCACCAGACTGGGAACTTAGCCTTCATTTACTCTTGAATATTTGTCCATGAGAGGTTTATTGTACATTATTTGCTGCCCCAGAGCAGCATACCAATGTAAAATTGCTTTCTAAAACATTTTTCCAGTATGATATATAAACGAACCTACAAAGTGCTCATTCTGGCTCAGATTTTGCTGAAGAATTGAAAAATAATTATATCTTTGAATATTTTGGCTGCACTATTCTGTGTGTACTGAGTGACTGCGTGTGTGTAAATGCCACTGTGTAAATTCTAAATAGCATGCAGTCCAAGGTAATACCCTTGCAGAAGCAGATATTTAGCACCTGTTCTTGTGTGAAGGTGATACATGATGTTGTCTTAGTAATTCAATCCTGGACTCCTAATGGTGGAAATATTTGCTTATTGTGTGTTTTGTTTTTGAAGGGGCAGTCTCTCGGGTCCCTTGGCATCTTGCAATCATTGCTGTTCCAGCTGTTTTCTAACTGTCTGAAGCATTGTTCCTTTATTGTGCAGTCAGTATCGTCAAAGACAGTTCTGAATTAGGGAATGTGGAAGACTGGGCTCTGTCAGTGTTTCAGCTTCTTGACCTTTGCTGTTCCATGGTTGATGGAATTCATTCCAATGCATCAACGTCCCACAGTGCAGTCTTGTTCTCTTTTGGTGAGCGGTCACAGTATGATTTTGTGTAAACCAGCATCTGTGTTTGATTGGGTAGCATACAGCTTGTGGGAGGGTTTGAAAGGCTGTGCCTGACACCAGTGATCTCCAGGGTTTCTGCCTGAGACACTGTCCAGCCCTACAAATACACAGTTTCTAAAATTTGCATCCTTGTTTTCAAATCTGCCCATTGCCTTACTCCCCCTCCCTATCACAGAAATCTCCTTCCCACTCAGATCTCACTGCTGTTCTCACATTCTGGCCTCTTTATCCCACTTCCATTGTCCCTCCATTGACTGTAATATTTCAGGTCCAAGGTCTGACCTTTGGCCTTCCCTTACTATATCTTTTCACCTTCTCCAAGTCCCACCTCCTTTTAATGTGCTGCTTAAAATCGGATTAGACCTGACGCCTATTGTCATTTGCCCTTTGGCTCAGTGTTATAGTTTGCTTGAAGACACTTACCTTGGGCAAGTTCTGACATTTAAAGATAGAAAGTGCTGTAGAAATTCAGCAGGTCTAGCAGTCTTTGTGGTGAGAGAAACAGTATTAATGTTTCCAGTCCTACACAGCGTTGCTCCTGGATTTATTCGGTAAGATATTTTACTCATTTAGAGGATGTGGATATCGCTGGCTGGGCCAGTATTTAATGGACCTCTCCACATTTCTGCTCAGGAAGTTGGTGGTGAGCTGCCCACTTGAACAACTGTATGTTTGGTATAGGTAGACCCATATTGCTGTTAGGGAGGGAATTTCAGGATTTTGACCCAGCGACACAGTGGCTCCGTGGCTAGCAACTCTGCCTCTCAGTGCCAGTGACCTGGGTTCGATTTCCACCCTCGGCTGATTGTCTGTGTGGACGTTCTCCCCATGTCTGCATGGGTTTCCTCTGGGTGCTCCGGTTTCCTGCCACAGTCCAAAGATATGCAGGTTAGTTGGATTTGTCATGCCAAATTACCCCTATTGTCCAGGGATGTGTAGGTTAGCTGAATTAGCCAGGGGAAATGCATGGGTACAGGGATGGGTCTGCGTAGGATGCTATTTGGAGGGTTGGTGTGGACTCAATGTGCCGAATGGCCTGCTTCCTCACAGTAGGGATTCTGCGATTCTATGAGACTGGATATTTCCAAGTCAGGATTGTGAATGGTTTGTAGGGGAATTTGCAGAAGATCACATTCCCATTCCCTTGTCTTTCTAAGTGATGGGCTATGGGGAGCTGTTAATGAACCTTGAGTTACTACAGTACATCTTGGTATGTGCTGCTGTAACTATGCATTGGTTATGCAGGGATCAATGTTTAAAGTGGTGAATGGGTGCTGATCAAGTGTTTTGTTCTTGTGTTATTGGAGTGGAACTCATTCAGGCATGTGGGAAGTATTCAATAACACTCCTGACTTGTGCCTTGTAGATAGCGGGCAAGTATTAGACAATCCAAAGTTACCTGCTGGAGGATTCGTAACCTCTGACCTGCAATTGTAACCATAGCATTTCTATGGCTGGTCCAATTTCTGGCCAATGGTAATCCCAAGGATATGGATAGTGGGGGTTTCAGTGTTGGTAATACCATTGAATGTCACAGGAAGATGGTTTGAGATGGTCACTATCTGGCATTTATATGATGTGAATGTTACTTGCCATGTGTCAATACAAACCTGGATATTGTTCAGATCTTGCTGCAGTTGGTCATGGAATGCTTCAGTATTTGAGGAGTCATGAATAGTACTGAACATTGTGCAATCATCAGTGAACACCCCCACTTCAGACCTTACGATGGTGGTTGAGTCTAGGACACGACCCTGAGGAATTTCTGCAGAGATGTCCAGGAGTTGAGATGACTGACCCCTAACAACCGCGAGCATCTTCCTATGAGCCAGCTATGGCTCCATCCACTGGAGCATTGCCCATTCCTGGTTGCAGTGGTGAGTTTCAATCATGAATACA